GGTTGCTCCAAGCCCCGTCCAGCCTGGCCTTGGACACTTCCAGGGATGGGGCAGCCACAGCTTCTCTGGGCAACCTGTGCCAGGGCCTCACCACCCTCACCGCTAAGAATTCCTTCCCAATATCCCATCTAACCCTGCCCTCTGGCACTGGGAAGCCGTTACCCCTTGTCCTGTCACTCCATCCCTTGTCCCAAGTCCCTCTCCAGCTCTCTTGGAGCCCTTTTAGGCACTGGAAGGGGCTCTAAGGTCTCCCTGGTGCCTTCTCTCCCAGCCCCAACTCTCCCAGCCTGTCTCAATAGCAGAGCTACTCCGGCCAGTTCCACAGAACTTGCATTTAAAGCCCAGATGTGGTCGGTCAAGTGTTGCTGTGTTATTTATTTCAGGTATGTGGGCACATTCGATGACAGTTCAAGATTACCAGGATCTCATAGACAGAGGATGGCGAAGGTAAATTGAGAAAGAAAATACAAAGCCCTGTTGTCAGTTTAGATACAGCTTAGAATCCACATTTAAAATTTAGATCTCTGAAAATAGTTAGCTAGTTTCCATTAGTAATTGAAATAAAACTATTTGTCCAGTACTCTGGGACTCTTTGTAACATCACACTGTCAAACAGGAAAAGATTTAATGATTTTGGAAGGATAACGATGTAGTGTAGCAGCAAAGAGCTGAAGAATTTGCTTCTCGACTTTTGTTACTCATCATGTAATAGTTTGATATGATTTTAATAAGAAAGGTTCTTCTTCCATTTATGTTTTGATATAAACAACCAAAAATCAGTTCATATTTATTACTATTTTCAGGAGTGGAAAATATGTCTACAAACCTATCATGAATCAAACATGTTGTCCTCAATACACAATAAGGTAAGAAGCTCAAAATACAGTTGTGTAAGGCATTTGACCACTTCAAATTTGTTCCACCATTTCTGTTTATGGCTTGAAATACATCATACTTGGAAAGTTTATCTACTTTTAGTGATACTTGGAATAGTAAGTATGTACTGTTGGGTTTGTGCATAAGGACATCAGCAGCTCTAGGATATTTTCCTCTAAAGAACCTTGTCTGTAACCCACAGACACTGCCTTAGTAGCCCAAATAAGAGGGGATTACACACACATTTTAGTGATTATAGTGATAAACACACAAAACATGCCATGAGGACTGATGTTATGCAGTACAAGACAACATAAATTTCATTAAATCAAAAATTTTGATAAAATATTTGATCACTTAATATAGAGGAACTTCAGAGATAAATAGAAATTACATATGCAGTGTAATTTTTTTTAAGCGGCTCCTTAACATTTTTTTAAACTTTCAAAAAAGAAGTGTTCATAATTTTTAATTTTTTTAGGTGCCAGGCGTTGCATTTTCAGGCCTCCAAATCTCACAAGAAGGTTCTGAAGAAAATGCTGAAATTTCTTTCCAAAGGAGATGTTTCCAAAGTAGCGAGCGAAGGTAAGGAACTCGTAGTGTTCGAAATCCAGAGCTGATGTTTGGGAGGAGGATTAAATACCTTTTGTGTACAGACCCCTGGATGGGTTGTGTCTTTGCAGTGGGTTTTGAATCAAGAGCACTTCAGAAGCCCAAAGACCAAGTCGTGCAGGTGACTTGTGCTAATGAAGAAGATGTTTCCTTGCTTTTTCCATAGACCAGCTTATTTTCCTGGGCCAATTCCTACTTTCTAGCTGGGAGCTGTAGAGGATTAGACTCTGTTTTTACTTCTGCCATAAAACTGGCAATCTGGAGAGGATCAAGCAGAGTGGTTGGTGGCAGAGAAAAGGAAGAACAAACAAAGAGGTTTTTTCCTGGTGATTGAACAGTCACACCTCATTTATTCAGCACCAAACCGAGCTATTTTTTCCGTTGTGGTGGAACTTGTGTTGGTTCTGAACCATTATAATTTGCCTTTTTTTGTGTGTGTGTGGTATGCTAGGGGTTTTTTTGGCTCTTTTTTGTTGTTTGATTGCAGCTATGGCCTGAGATCAGTTGACTGTCCTGTTTTAGTGGAGAGAATAAAACCGTTCCCAAAAATGAGTTGGTGTTCATAATTCGGGGTCGTAAAGGAAACTTTGTTTTCAGACTCTTGCAAATACTTTATGTGTTGGAAAACACTTGTAAAATTGGAAATCAGTTACTTTAGTATTAATTGTAGTTGTGCAAACTGTGAGCTGTGGTTGCACAGAGAGAAATTCAGTCCTGTTCTGATTGTCTGCAGAGGAGCCGATGGATTCCCACATAGAGGATGCGGTCGCCTGTGATTTTCCATACAAAAGTGAGTCTCAGGTCAGTCAGTCTGAACTGACTCCCTTGGGTGTGGATCACACTGAGAGTGTGCAGAATGAAGATAAGGACTCGGGGGAAACAAAAGAAGAGGTGAATGTGCAGAAGGTGGAGTCGGATTCTCTCCAGATCTGTGCAGCCAAGGACACACCAGTCCCTGGAGAACCATCACACTCGGCTAAAGTTGTTCATGCACCACCTAAGCCAGGTAATCACATTTCTGGTAGTCATTGGAGTATACTGCCATGATTTCACATCTTGTTGAAGTCCTTCTTTTATCTTGCCTAGTAAATCAATCAATAAAAGGATTGGAAACTATGTAGGAATTTCTCCTTTTTGTCTTGCAGTGAACTTAATTTTACATTTCTGTAAGGAGATGCAGTAAGTACATACGAGAAGTAAAGCAATCTCTCTCATTTTACTTCTGTTGCATTTACACATTGCTACAGCTCTCATGTGCCAAAAACTGAAGTAAACAAATGCTTATTCCTATCTACAGTTTTATGGGAAAGTCCATGGAATCTTCGAGGCATTTTAATATAACACTAAAAATTTTTAATATAATGCTGATTTTAATAGTATGGTAACTCTCTTCAATATTGAAGTTATCACTCAGTCAAGCTTCTTTTATTGTAAT